TTGTTGGCTGCTCGGCCAGCAGCGAGCTGGCCGTTAAACGAAGGACCGGCCGCCCTGTCAGCGGAACGACCAAACGATTGCCTGACCAAGCGAGCTTACAGGCAGGCAGACTGGCTGAAAGGAAGGCAAGTAGGCAGATACCGCGCAGCAGTCAGAGAGCCCGGCCGGCGGTTGTAGAGGTGGTGATGTCCGTTCGCTCCGATGTAGTCCGACTGTACTGCCCGGGCTGTGCTGCGAAGCCGCAGCCAACAGGCGCACAAGCGAGCGCGCAAGCGAACAAATGCCAGTCGCTCAGACGCACAGTCCTGCTGCTGCTACTGCTGCTGCTGCTGCTGCTGCTGCTGCTGCTGCCGCCCCTTCGAGTATGCCTGCTGACTCGCTGGCCGCGCAGGCGCATGCAGCAAGCCAGCGGTAGCAGCAGCAATAGGGCTACTGAACCTGACTCACCCAGGCCAGCCGCTGACGCTGCTCATCCCCGTTCTTTGGCATGCCACGACCACGACGACCACCTCACGGCTGCCACGACCATCGCCACCACCCACGCCCCGAACAGAGCCGCGCCCGACAGGCGCTTGGCTGGCTCTACGACCGACGGCATTAATGCCGCTGGCGATGATTCGGTCGCCGCAAAGTTCCGCGTTGTCTCATTCGATGCAGCGGTCGGATTGGTGGCAGTAGCGCCGATGGCAGCAGCGGCCGCGACTGCAGCGCCCGTTAGCCACCGACAGCCGACAACGATAGCCAACAACGGATGGAGAGACGCAGAGAACACTGCAACGTTAGGCAGAATGATGTTGATATTGGGTCGAGTCGAGCTGAATCGACGACTTTGTTGCCCATTCGCTGTTCGCTCGCTTGCTCATTCGTCCGCTATGGGTTTGCCGCCCGCTCGTTTGGTCACACCCCCCTCTGATCCCGTACAACCGCGTTCAGTAGCTACCTATCCAGCTGCTGTTGACCGCCAACAGTGGCAATGGGTGCGTCACCCACCTGCTAACTAACCAGACTATTTACCTATTAACCTGCTACTATCCTACCTCTACTAGCTGCGTAGCTTATGAGGCCTTGTCGCGCAGATACAGACTCGCTACATCGTTGACGGCCATACAATGCACCATCGATAGCTCCCTAACCAGCCGTACGCCCACCCCAGTCTCAGAGGAGGTATTCAACTCGGCGATATCATGGTCAGTGTTATCGCCGTTCCGCCGACGTACGGTCGCCTGCTTGACATTCGGGTTGGTGATTGCCATTGAGCAATGCCAACGGCAGTAACAGTCCCATGGCATAGGAAACGCGTCTAGTTGGCGTTTTTCTATATCTGTTCTATTTAGGCAGTAGACGCCATGGTAAATTTGTAGTGATCAATAGAGTCGCTTGGTCTAATACCAATTTACCATGACGACCACATAGAAACGTCGACGACGACGACGACGACAACAACAGCAACAATAACAACAATGGTTGCAAGTCTGCGCTGACTTCTAATCGATCCGCTTAAGCGACGTAAGCAAGCGGGGATTAAGGTACGGGGATTTTGCGGTCAGAGGTCGAACGCAACGTCGAAAGCAGTCGTGTTACACAGACAAACACGGAAAACGAATCAAATTCAGCATGAAGGCGAGGGAGGAAGAGAATTAAAGTGGCAGGGGATTGGTGACAAAACAGTTGCTACAAAGCAACAGGATTGCCACTGCTTTCTACTGCAGCTGTTGCTTCAACAATGGGTTGCCAAACGCTACTGGCCACAATAAGTCACCAGCGACCGATTAAGTTGTTGTCGCAAGAATATCGTTGGGTTGCTTTTACGTTCAGTGTCTTCGTCACTGCTGTTGCCGTGATCAGCGTTGCCACAGCTGCCCTTCTGTTAAAGGGATGTCGGCAACCGTAACAATGTTCTGCATGTTGCCCACCTGCACCGGCCACAACCGCTACCACGGGGTGACGACGAGGAGACATAATGATTTCTATTGCTCAACTTCTCATGCGGCGAGGCACTGAGGTCACCTTTGCGACAGGCGATTCTAGCCATCCGGTGCCATCCAGACCGCGTGCGTCGACATGCTGTCATGGAACGGCGCTATCAGCACTACTGTTTGTTAGCTTGTTAATACGTTCTCGGAATTTCTAGCGATTGCTAACTGCTAAGTTACCGATGCTAGGGTTATCGCAATCGATGAGTATAAAAAGAGACTGCTGAAACGCCGTTAACGACCGAAACAGAAGGGGTTATTAGTAAAAGGATCGGCAACGAGCGCTGGGGGTATGTCGAAATACCTGGCAGTGGTTTCGGACTTGAAACAAGAGGAATTTAGTGGTGGTGACGTGAAAATACTGCCTAATCGAAAGGTCAGACAGGAATTACAACTAAACAACTTATGTTATAACAATAATGGTTAGGTCGGCTCGCGCGAATCGCTCATGCGGATAGCTTTGCAATATGCTAAATACTAAGCTTCCCAGGCCTGCACGAGCATGTGTTTGCATGTAGTCGACATCCTCATGCATAATACACATATTCCTTATCATAATTTACTTTTACCACAGTCAGATAGATGCCGTTACTGCTAGAAACTGCTCGTTTCCCTACGTCCGATCGCCTTTAATTATCTACGCGACCGATGACATTGGTCGACCGTTGCCTGTCCCTAGTTCTTTGTAGCCTCCACACCCGTACTAGCGGGCGGTACATTTATCCTGCACGAAGCTATAGGCCACACTAAAACTGCTCAATTGTAAGCTGACGGGTCATTTTCACGAGCCAAGCGGCACATACGGTTGTATCGTTGCTGGTTGTCAAGATCCAGTACTTCCCCTGATGGCGGTCGTTCGACGCTAGCTACGCACGTCCGTACCATAGTTACTGCTGCTGCTACTACTTCTACCAAAATAAATATTGCTATTACTATGTAGCTTCCTCTCACGTCCAGAGGGAGTCAATCTCTAAGTCGCGGGCCGGCGACGCGCCGGACCTGCCGCTCTTGAGCAAGCGTTCTTGACGCTTTACTCTGCGGCTCCTCGCCAGCTTGTTTCCTCAGGCTGCTACAAGCGGGCGATACCCAGCAACTAGCGAGCAGTAATGACGACTTGCCGTCTGATCGGTCAACTGCTCGAGTACTTGTCTACTCCACTATGGTTTGCTGTGATCGTCATCACATCGGTGGCGGTGATCAACGGAGTTTCGCGATTGGCTTCGCCATCACTGGCAGGTCTCGCGCAGCACCGAGCTAGCGAGAAACCGAGCGCCTGGCTGGCAGGCGCCCCGACGGCCAGACGCGTAAACAGACGCGTTCCTGTTGCTGGTGGCTCGGCTATTGGCTATCGCTTTGAATGCCGTCGCTGCCAGTGGTGCTGGCGTAGTCGATAGTAATGGCAATAATGATACAGTCATACAACGGCTGGTGATCTATCAAACGCCGCAATGAACGCCGTCATCAGCCGACGGCAGCAGTACGTCGCTAGTGTTCCAGTGACGTGCTGCTGCAACGGCCTGCGCCTGCTGATGGGTCTACGGGTGGGATGAAATGCTACTGGCATTACTACTTTTTCCGTTGACAACGATGACGATAACGGTAGCGTCAGCGATGTGCAGGCGGCGGCGGCGGCGGCAATAGCAACTGCGGTAATAGCAGCTGCGGCAGGCTATGACGACGAACTATTGCAGCATGTGCCTTGACAAAGTAGTGCAAAGTAAATAGAGAAAAGGGAAAGATTATCGTTGGTTTTGCTTTGGTAAGTAACGAACGAAACGAGGAACCGACGAAAACTTAAAGCTTGTAGTACTCATGATCCTAGTGATCACATCGACTCGAACGCTCGCCATAGCTAGCAGCACGAAACAGCCCGAGGCGGAAAACCCACTATTACATACTGCTCTGTGTTATCAAAGAAAAAGCATTTTAGTCCTAACCGCTCTCGTAGTAGCCTCACGCGTATATACAACCGTGACAATCCAATAGGATAAAACTCACTAGGATTGAAGTTATTCTAGATTGGTTGTGTTAGCGACGCGGAAAGTAACCAAATGGACGCAGCGCAACAACATCTTGCGTTGCTCTTCAATTACCCAACTCTTGCTGCCCTTTGTCTTCGCTTATCTTATCTTTACTCTCGTGCTTCTTTTCCTTAGAAACAAGTTGTGTAAAAATAAAAATTATAAATGCGGCGGCGTATCGGCCGTATTCGTACGTGTGTATGTGTATGTCTATGTATGGGCGATAGCAATTTTATTGCACGATTTAAAAGCGGAGAGTAATTGGCCATTGCAAAAACGATAACAGCAAATGCTGGCTGAATACTGAATCCTAAAACCTATCAAATATGAAGACCAGGATTGATGGAAGACAGCTAATTAAAGCATCGTTCAAGAGACATAAATAGTATTATCGACTCCGTGAGTGTTCATGCAGGAACCGCTACCTCGAACATCGAGCCATTTAAGCTTCAGAAGTACGCGCAGTTAGACAAGTAATACTGGGTGTCTGCGATCGAATTGGATCCATTGGACAGCAACATTCAGAACTTACGAATAAAAAAAATATAATTAAATTGTAAATAGTTGCAAGAAGAGGATCATGACTGCCGGACAGAACGGAGCAGAGTTTCGTTTAAAATCGGTCACAGAGCGCGACCGTAATTAAGGACATGTTAAAGGAATCGTAGTGATATGCCGATCGTAAGACGGATTTTAAAACTTTTTTCCTCATTTTATAATAATAAAATTGTTGCAAGTCGATCGAAAAGAATGTAAGGTAGAGTAATCAGAAGGATCAGCGTGATAAAGCCAAGAGAAGAAAAAATATTAAAATTAACACAAATAATAACATGACAACTTCTCAACGATTTTTTCTTGGTGGCGCTCGATAAACTCTAGGCTCGATTCTTCTCATGTCAATTCATGAATAAATACCCGTTTTACTTATATAGGTAGTTTTCTACTGGTTCGAACTAGAAAATGAATCGAAATTAATAAAATGTTAGACAGGATTCGATTAACTCACCTGTATTGCACGTGTCGGGGGTCCCACAGACAGGGTTCTTTGCGAACCAGCTTAATGAGTTTCATATTCGAGCCGGGTGTGTGGTACACGGGTCCAATTCCTTTCGATTTGTCCTTCCTTGCACCACCCCCACCGTTTCCGCCGGTTGGGGTACCACCAGCACCGCTGGCTCCGGCTGTCGCTGACGCGGGCGCCGCCTCGGGCTCGCTAGCGGCGTCGGCATCAGCCGCCTCCCCTTCGCCGTCAGCATCACCGTCAGCGGCATCTGCCGCGTTCGCTAGGTCGACCTCCCCTTCTGGCGAAACTACCTCCTCCTCGACGATCTCCTCCTTCATCTCTGAGTCGGCCATCTCTCCGCCACTGCTGTGGCCGCTGCTGCCGCCGCTTACGTTGATCGTCGCCGCTGACGCTGCATTGTCGTCGTTCGCACCGGATGACGCCTGATCCACCTCTTCGTTGCAGCCGACGTCGGCGTCGACCACCTCCGTCTCCATCGATTCTGTCGTCAGTAGACTGCGAAGCATCTGCGACGATCCGAAGTTGTCGTTGTAATCAAGCTATGTATTATTGTTATTATATATACGGAGAAGTATGCCTAGCTACGCTGCTTGGAACAAAAACTAAGCTACGGTGACACGTAAACAGACGCCGCGGGAGGACAGAAGCCAGTGGTGTTTCTGGCTAAACGATATGTACTATCGACGCGTGATGAAACATCCGTTCTTTTAAGTCGACATCGACTAACTCAGCAGCGCGCTGGACAGACAGAGACGCCGCAGAAGTGGTAATTCGACCCAACTGCTCTCTATGGATCTTCTATGTCTGTGCGGCGTCGACGTCGTCCACCGGGACCAATGGGGTATCGGTGGACGGAGGAAATCAAATTGGAGCAATGCGATTGCTATTGTAGTTACTGCTGACTATGTATTCAGTACATAATGTACCGAGCAACGGCTATTTCGTTGCTAGTGGGCTTGCACGTCGAACCCAACATGATACATTGCGTTTCGTTGATCGATTTTGCCGGCTCGTATTTCTAGGGAAAACCGTTTTCGGCCACCTACGCACTCAGAGATGTCTACAACAGTAGCACTTTCGTGGTTCTTTTTGTTTTTTTTTTAGCTTTTTCGATTCCGTTCTTGAGAGGATGTTGATTTACGCTCCTCTGCTGCTGCTGCTGCTGCTGCTGCTGCCACCTCAGTCGATAGTTCTTCAATTTGCGGCTCGTAGTCACAGACGGTGCCAAGACGAAACGGTGGCTCTCTCTGTATCTTTGCCTCTCTCGCTATACTAACACAAACAACAACAATAATAATAACAACGATCACGTCAGTTACTGATAACAGCACTTATACTAAGGAGATGATAAGAACATGCGCTCAAACGGGCTCGAGGTCTAATACTAGTATAAATGCATGCTCCAAGCTGCTTACCGATTTCACCATTGTGTCCCATGTCTATCAGTTGTAAAGAATAGAGAATTTAGAAATAAATCGGCTACACCGTTAGCAATGCTTGTTACCTAGTGGTCTTGCCTTGCCGGGACTGGCTAGTAGTGTTTCAAACGGCCACGATAACGATATGCTTACATTGTCGCTGTTAACGTTCTAACGCAGCTGCTACTGCAGCTGACTCCGGCTAATTACACTGCGCTGACGGCGTTTCCTATGGCGATTCGCTCGGCGGCTAGTCGTTAGCTAGTTTGCGCCAATGATACAACGGTCGCTACTAACTACTAAGAACGTCTGACGACGAACGCGTTTGGCGATCTCGGTGTTGACGCACAGACGCCCAACGCTCACACCTACACTCACAATGCGCTCCAACACGATACGTATACTGGATAAGCACAGCACAGCAGAGTGGTAAATCTAGTTCGCCGAGTGTCGTCGATTGCGATGAGTCTCGTTCTGGCGTTCCGTTGGATTATTGTATAGACCGAGCGGTTAAACGACCGGCGCCTGCGCCAAACGAGAACGCCGCTCGAGAGCACCAGTGGCTGTGCTTTGGGGCGTGCAATATGGACACGACGACTTTGGACGGCAGTGACTGTAGACGCGCGCGTGAGTTTCTACAGCACGCAACGTCGTAGGTACTTTTCCAGCGGTAGCAGTAGTAGTAGCAGCAGCGAGCCGCCACTTTTGTTGCTGTAGCAGCGTCAATTCGTTCGTCGCTCGCTCGTCGAACTCATCGTCGTGCCGGGGCTGTCAGAGTCGCCAGCGCAGTCAGCCGAGATGCCGCCGCCGCCGCCGCCGCCACCACCGTTGCCGTCGCCGAGCAGCGTATTGCGGTTAGAGTATACAGACAGACAGAGAGACGACGACATGCAACGAGGCTGGTGGCGACTGGCTCATCGTCGTTCGCTGCAGCCAGCCGCTATTATGAGCTGTCGAGAGCGACCGGCTCTCTGGCCGACTGCTTGCTAAGCAAGCAAGCGACCCAGCGGTTTGCTCAACTCTGCTGCCAGCAAGCAGCCAGCGGCTGGTCGTCGTCGTCCGTCGACGCTCGTCTCTCTCGATGGGGCCGACGCGGCGACTCGCTGCGTTGTGCGGCGCTGTCGGTTGCTGCTGCGTTCAGCTGTTCGGCCGCTGCTGTTCGGGGCTGCTCTTCGGCTGCAGCAGTTCGCTGCTCGCTCGCTCGCTGCTGCTTCCAGTGGCAGTGAGTGGCGGCGCTGCGGGTGGCGCGGCAGCAGCGGCGGCGGCCGTGGCGGCGGCGGTGGAGGCGCCGGCGGAGCGCGAGTCCGCGCCGAGGGGCTACTACCGCCTTTCTGCTGTGCAGCTCGGTCGACTCGTCTGCGCTTGCCTCGTCCGGTCGGTCGGTCGGTCGGTCGACTCTGCGTTCCGTTAGGTTGCTGCTGCCGCCTCCGCTATGCTGCTCTCAGCTGCTGTACTCTGCACTCGGCTCCGCTATCGTTCGCTGGCTCGTTCGCTCGTTTACTTGCTTGCCTCACCCCTACGCTTTACGCTAGTGGTTGTGAGTTTCTATGGCCGTCGGAAGCTGAGACCGACTGTACAGCCGCTCTGCTTGCTTGTCTGCCTGCGCCTGGACGTCTTATCCGACAAGTCAGGGCCCCTCGGTTGCCCTCTGCTCCCCACCATCACCCCCCACTCGGCCTGCCGTTTCGCCCAACTTGTTCCCTACCGGACCTCGTCGTCCCCAACCCACGGCTGCTTCTACCAGCCACCATGCCCCCCATCCCTTCCCGTACGATAGAGCTGGGGTCTTCATGACTGACTCCCCTTCTACCAGCACCCTGCTGCCGTCTGCCGCTTGCTGTTGCTGTTGCCGGGACCCCAGCACCAACACCATCGTCACTACCACCACTGCCAGCGTCGTCACCACCGTCATTCCCCCGTGCTCACCCCAGCCACACAACCCTTATGGTTTGGTCCCCCCCCCCGCCCTCTGCCAAAGAGCGCCTCCTCTTTTCTCCCTTCTTGCCGACGACGACCCCCGCGCGTCGTCGTCCTCGTCTTTGGGAGACTCTCTGCTTTCTCTTTGCCTGCTGCTGCTTGGTATTACTAGATGGGCGTGGGGCGGACGACGACGATGATGGCAGCAGAGGCAACGGACGCCCGGGGCCGACTTGCAGGCCGAGAGACCGACAGACCGACATTGGCCAGCGACAGCAGTAACAACAACACCAACTGAATCAGCAGCGTAAGCTCAAGCCGATAGACGGACGAACGAGGCAGCACAAGTCGCGTCGCAGCTACCCCAACACAAGAAGCAGCCTCCTCTTTTTTGGAGGCTACACGAAGGACCGACAAAGCTACCCCACCAACATTCGCTGCCAATCGACCAATATTGCTGCTGCCGCCGCTGCCTGTTAGGCTCCACTTCGTTTGCCTGGCAGAGCACAAATGCCAAGCCGAAACCTCACCCGTGCGGTGGCACGACGGATGCACCAACACTTTTGACTACTGCAACTACATTAGGATCTTACGGCTCTCATTGCCAACCCTTCCAGCGTCAACTGCTACATAATCAATGCACACTTCATCTAGAATCGGTATTGTTCAAGCCGGTCGACCGACGGAACTGAGGAAAATAAAAATATAGGCAACACGATAGGACACTGGGACCAATCACCAATTAACCAGCAGCCAACTAGACCACCTCCGATAGAGAATACACAGAGAAAATGCAGAATACGAGTACGATAGAAGTGTATTGTGTGGCTAAGAAATAACCTGATTAATCAACTTTTCTTCAGAACGAAGTTAATTCCTGCATCTAAATCAATGGCGATTACGTGAGTTTCTATGCCGGACCAGCTGTGATAAGGGCAACTGCATTCTGCGCGTCAACGTGTTTAAGACTTGCTAGAACGCGTATGTTACTTTAGATCACTATTATTATTTACAGATCTTTAGGGCAATCCTGTCTAAGCTCAACGTAGCAATTCAGCAAAATATAACAAAGTTAAGACTCACGTAAATTTGACATAACCGGTTACACCTGCGAAGTTGATGTCGCCCCAGAACGGTCGTTGGTCTCGTAGTAATTCTATCACAAATGTTGATAAGGTTAATGGATTTTGGATTTGAGGGAAAAAAACAACAGTATAAGCTAGTGTGTACAGCATGTCGCTGAAGTAACATGTAATTGCTAAGGCCAAACAGCTAAGCAAGGGAGCTACTCCTTACATTTGCCCTTAAGACGACAGCAAAGTATTGCCTTGACGTATTACCTACAGGTTTAAACAGGTCCACAACGTGTGCAATTCCAAATCCCTAACTGTATTCGAAGCGTTGATATACGACGCAGGAGGGTACACTGGCATTTAGAAAATGTACTCAACGGTCTAAACTCATACGAAGCGTGACCGACGAAGAGCTCCTTGAAAAGCCTATCATGCTGTGCATTATGCCCTCAGCTGTTACTCCTAATGAGCCGCTGATGAATCGTTTAGTCTTTAATAATCGCTCGCCAACAAGGAAGAAAACATTCAAATTCAATAAAAAAAAAAGCCTAGCAGCCGAGTTACGATGAGAAGCGAGAGGTAAAACGAACCCCAAAAAGAGGCCGTAGGCCGAGGAAAATACAGCCTTTGCAGCGGCAGGAAGGCGACCATCAGCAGTGGTCTAAACGATGCAACTAACTAAGCAATACGACGAGATAAGCGGGCCTCACATACCTCGTATCGAACCTTGACTAACGGGTCGAACCGTTTATTGTTGTCTATTTGCCCAATACGCGCTGCTTACTACGCAATATCGCCGTTGCCTCCTGCTGCTGCTTTTGGTTGCGTCGGTCAGAGACGGATCAGTGTCACGGTGGTACTCCCCGTTGTTTTCTCGCGCGCGCTCAACCTCTACTGCTGATAGTTATTCTGTTCCGAAATTATATATATATAGCGATGACAAGCACCATATACTCCGCCATGAGCACGTTGATCGCATAGGCAGCGACCATCGCGGTGGCTATGGTGCCAGATGCTCATGACTACACCAACAGACGACATACAACAGTTATGCAGTTCAAAGTATCGACCTTAAGCCGCGTTGACCCGACCCAACAAAACCTATGGACGCCGCTAAACGCGGCTCCATGATCGAATTGCCACCGGCCTCGCACGCCATGATTAGTATAGGGTCCTCGTCGTTGTAGCTGTCGCTGGGTGGCAATAAACGTTGCAGAGATCGGCGTCAACGCGCACGGCATCGCGCCGTGCTGGTGCTACTGCCGCAGCCGCTGTAACTTTAGTGGTTTCTGTCTTTGTCGGATAGACAGAGGCACTGCTAGGAAACCGACGACGAAAGCAACGCCAGCGAGTTTGCCGGCCGGCCAGACTCGTCGCTGTACTCCGTTTGTGGCTCCTGATATAACCAGTGCTGATGCTGGTGCTAATGCGACGGCGTCGATGGCAGCTGCAGCAGCAAAGGCAGTTACGCCATCAAGCGATAGCAGATAGACTGACAAAAGGGAGTGCGGATGTCCGTGCGTAGACCGACGATGCAAACGCCGAGCGACGCGTCCGTTGTCTCTCTCTGGTGGCGTTCGTCGCAGTAGCCGCTCTGTCCACAGCGATTATCGTCGTGGTCGACGTCATCATTGTCGATCCAGGGCATCCGTCCAACAGCAACGATAAAGAAGATGCTTAGCGACTGTACAAGAAAAACAGGGGTACAGGAGTGGTAGTAATACGACTGAGAGCGACGCTACTAGCAGCGCAACGCTGCTTCTCACTTCGACGTCACCGAACAGAGAAAAAATACGGCAACGACAACATCGACATCCATGGTCGTTGTTCTAAGAGACGATAGCGAGTTTGAGTACCAAGTGCTTACAATGCCTCAGGTGTCACGGAAGATGAGGAGCATTAAAACGACGCGGCATTACTGGACTCGGGGCAACGTATAGTGCTAAATCACGAAGGGGTGCAGTTGGTCTATCATAAACTAACAATAATAACGATTCAACATTGATAGATGGAGGCAGACAGACATTCAATATTTGCTGCCTGCTCCAACACGACTACCTAACACGTATATGATTATATCGTGCCTCTAGCTTTGCAGATATCAATTTAATTCGAAGGATATACGGGTATTATCATTATCTTAGTACTTCAACGGCGCTTGCGTAACGTTGTCTCTTCTACCGAAGGTAAACTCGCTATTTCTGAATAATTAAAACGTAAGGCACTTATCTGTCTATATAAACAGTCATATACAGACTTACAAATATGCAAGAGCCTAGACGACATGCGACGGAACCCCACGACGGAAAACAGCGGACGTTACAGGAGAGGTGAGGTTGCCAATATCGGAGTTGGTGTTAGCGCCGCAGAGCTAAAACTGCTTCGTTCTATACTACCCTACTCAAGAGTAGGATCGAGTGAAATCTACACGAAGTACGACTATATACACGAAGCTGCTCGCGATGGTCGGGGCAGCAACGACGCCAGCGTCGTCATACCCGTGTACATGCCTGTTTGGTCTTGCCTTTGGGATGTTGACGACTTGTCCGCCGCTGCTCGCTACTCAGTCACATAGCGCCACCATGCTTCTTGCCTTTCGTGGCATGCGTAACGGACAGACGAGCAGGCGTCCAATCCCTACAGCGTCCGACACCACGACGGGCGCCGGGGGGCCGGCGCGATCGATGCCTGCCTGCTTTCTTGCTGCTATCGTTGCCGCTACTATGCAACAGCCTCGACGGCTGCTCAGCAGCTCGGTCTTCTCCTGCAGCGTCTCAGCGTTGTGCGCACGCGCAGCCGCCGCCTCAGTCTCTCCGACGCCCGGTGCGGAGAGAAATAAAGTGCCTTTTCCCTTGCTGTCCTGTTCGCTCCCCCACACTCCCCGATTCCCTGTACACCCGTCGCTTGTCCCTCCGCCAAGCCCTCACCGTCGCGATCCTTGACGTCGTCCTACTCCCCCGAACTGTTTCCCGTCCGCTGTGTCCTGTCGTTTGTCCGCCAGCTTGCTAGCATACCTATCCAGCAGCAGTGAACGGTGACTATAATACGCCGGCCACAAGGACAACGACGATAGCGGCAACAGTAACAGCAGTAAGACACAGACTGTTACGCTAGCCGTCCAGGCC